CGCTTCAGCTGCGGCGTCTCAGTATACCACGAGCAGCAGCTAGCAGTATACTGCGGCGTCTCAGTATACCGCGAGCTACAGCTTGCGGTATACTGAACCTAGGGTGACGGGAAGACGCTAGTTTGTGTCCTCCCGTTACCCTAAGGAGAACTATGGGGAAAAGCCTTAACCCCATAGTTCTCCTTTAAGGAAAAGGACAATTTTCTCTGACAGCATACACTAGCAGCGTATATTTTACAATGAGCTTGGCTTACATGAATCAGCAGCACCTCAGTCGGATTCATTTCAGTTTTTAAAGAGTTTTTTTACAGGTATTTTTTAGCAGCAACACATGCTTTTTCCTTTCCTTTTTTTATAAAGCAGTAATATGTCTGCTTTGACTAGCAGATAGAAATTGGCCAGTAGTTTAGTGAGCTTGTTCCTGTTCTGGATGATGCAAAACTGTGCTGCTGCTGGCCAATTTATATCAAACTTTCATTAGGAATTAAGAGACTGCAAATGATACAGCAGTATAAAATTAGCCAGCAGCAGTACATTTTAATAAGAAAGAATAGGCCAAAGTGTACTAGAGACTAGGCATGGGCTCGAAACATAGGCAGTTTGTGTGTTCACCGAACACATGAACTGTCAGGGCATTCAGTGGCTTGTTTGCCCATTGAGCTCCCCGCAAGGCACTGCGCCTTGTGAAACCCTGATTGGCTAAAGCCTTGCACCTGACCAAAGGTCAGGTGCAAGACTTTGCCCAGTCAGGGCCCAGTACTCTGTAAGAGCCATGATTGGGCAAAGTCATGATGACTTTGCTTAATCATTGCTCATCTGTCAGATGTCGTACTACTGTAAACAGTTGGGCGGAGCTAGCTGTCACCGCTAGCTCTGCCCAATTGTTTATATATTGCCGGCATCTGTCAAAATGCCATTCTGCGGCAGGCAACCCTGGAAAAGCACCCTGCAAGTGCCGAGTGTATGTTGCCCGGTATCGCAGGGAGGGGGTCTGCCTGCTCGTCCCCCCGCCTTTTCCTGCCCTGCCGGGCCTGTGCTCGGTTCAAGGGTCTGTTAGGGAATTTTAGGGGGACCCATTTTTGGGGGTGGAGTTCTTCCTTAAAATTCCTACAAGACCTTAAGGGCCTGGTATGACTTTGAGGGGGAACCCCACACACTTTTTTTTGTTTTGTTACATGGGGTCACTCCTAAAATTCCTACCAGACCTAAAGGGTCTGGTATTGTTTGGAAGGGGAAAAAAAAGGGTCATTTTTTTCTTTACAAATGTCATTTTTGCTGCAGCAGGTTCTATACATTGTAAAGATGTACCACATTACAGGTGGTTTAAGGGGACCCCCAGGCATGATATTTAAAGGATTTTTTCATTTGTATTGTTTCACTTTAGGTGATGTTAAAATCACTACCCCTTTAAAAATTTTATTTTTTAAAAGTGTTTTTTTCCCCACTGATTCATGTTCCCCAGGGCAGTACCTGAATCACCATACCCCTTTATGGCCCGTACATTACATATAAGGCTTCAAAATGGGGTAAATTGATTGTCAAAGTTCTACCCCATAGACTTGTATTGAGTTCGAGTTCGAACTTGAACTTTTTCCATGTTCGAAAGTTCGAATTGGAAAAGAACAAGGGGGTGTTTGGTCCATCACTACTAGAGACAGTGGTGTTGATTAACTAAAGGCAGATAGGCTGTTCACTTTGCAAGGGAATTTTATACTTTGCAAGGATGTTTTCCCTTAGCTTAGTGAATGACTTCCACCATTCAATCACATGGGCCACATTAACTCAGCTAAGGGAAAATTTAATTTTCAACATTCAATAAAAAGTAATATGCCTCCTAAAAATTAAAACTCCCAAATAATACCCTCTGAAAAAGCCCACTTTTTAAAGGGAAGCCTTGCTGCAAAAAAGCCAATTAACCTAAAAAAAAAAGGATCAACATACATCAAAACCCATTACACCCCCAAAATAAATTAAAATACCCCTAAAATACCCACCCCTGAAACAAAAGCCTGTTTTTTTAAAAAAAGGGAAGCTAAAAAATAGTTTAATATGGATGAGACAGCAGCTAAAAGTGACCTTAAATTAAGCATAAAATAATATTAAATAATATTATACATAATGGGCAGCAAAGCTGTAGATTGCCTTAAGAGCTAGCAGTCAGAATTAAAGTACAGTTTTCTAACTGACCCTGTTCTCTCATGATCCAGTTTGTCAGCTTCCCCTATCCTTTTGCAAGCTTCAATACACTGTTGCTACTGCTGATCTGAATTCAGAGGCTATACAGTTTAATATGGTTAAAACAAGATTTTGGGTCAACCTGCACAGAGATTTTCTGGGAAATAGCTCCAAATATCCAATCAGCAGAATTCTCCTTGAACTCATGGTAACCCAAACTCAAACCTCATCTTTATTAGGCAGGCGAATTACTGTATATTATACTAAGCAAAATAGGCACCAATTATGGAAACCTCTATAGCCACATACAAAAAAGTGAGCAATCTTTTAAGATATTTGAACTTACATTTAATATTAAACATGGCATCAATGGTGATGATTTAGTTAAATAAAATGAATTTGCATAATGGCATGCCCTCACATTTTAATCATATAGCATACAGTAATTTCTTTGCAAACCATTTTGTAAATGAATATCAGTCAAAATACTCTACAAAACTATAATTTTCTTAAAATGTCAAATATGTCAAATTTTTCTTGGCAACAGACCTCAGTTTGTAGACTAGATTTCCTAAAAATGCATACAACCCTGCTTCTGTAATTGGCTCATTGTTTACCCAGAAGCTAACACAGAACTTAAAGTCAACTTATTAGTATCGCAAGCACTATCCTAATTAAAGCTGAACTCTGGGGATAACCTCTCTGCCCACCCTCTGCTCCCCACCCTGAAATAAATACAAAATAATAGTACTTGATCCGAGCATAGGCATGGCAGGGTGGGAAAGGGGTAGGTGAGCAAGTGCCTCCTTTCCCTCCCATACCAGGCTACATGCCCTCGGCACTGGTAGGGTGCTTTTCCAGGGTCTCCCCTGGAAAGGCACAATGTCCCCATGACGATGGGGACAAGGGTCTCTTCCCCACAAACCATGGGCCATTGATTGGGAGGGTGCGGGCAGGACGCTTATTCACATCAGGGTACCCCTTTAATAAAGGGGCACCCAAATCCTAGCACTGGCCCTGATCATGATGTCCAGAGTTGTCCAAGACGATGACTCAACAAAATAAAAAATATAATAAAATAGAAATATTTCGAGTCATGCTCATGCTCGACTCGAACATCGAGCCCATCTCTACTCTGTAATAACTTGCATTCTTTTAATTTAGAAAATGTTTATAATTGCATATTTTTATTTAATAACTATGGGAATCTTTCTTTTCAGGTCTAAGTCACGGTCAGAATGTTTTACTAAAATTACAGATTACGAAGAGCATCTGGTATTTTAATAAGAGCAGAATAGGGTAGATTGAGATCACGGTGGATTAAATATAATTTATCAGTTGTTGTAATGTTTAAAATTATATTCTGTTAGCATTTTATTCATATTTTCTCAACCTAGTACAGTATATGAAAATATTATTGAAGCTCTAAACCTCCAATTTGTTGCTCGGAAGGTTGTTGGTGGTAGGAGTTTGGATTTTGAAGAGGATGGGGACTCTCTATCTTACAAGTAAGATTAGATGTCACCCTAGAAATCCTGAAATCGTGCTAAAGTTTCTCCTAAAGTAAATGCACTAATTACACTAAACAGTGTCAGCTGGTGTGCTATAAAGAAAGAAATGTATAAATTGTGTGCACTGTGTTACTGCTCATAAACATGCATAAACTTCCAAACAATCTGTAAATTTTCATAAACATACATTTTCAAACATATTAATAATATTCAATATGACAATATTCAATAATAGTCCATTGTAAATCTGTATAAAGTGCTTTTGTGCAAAATCCACAGTGTGGCAATGATCCTCTGAAATAAAGTGCTCCCGACTCCCAATGTGTTAAATAACTGAGAGCACACTCACCAGAGATCCATGACCATATATCTCAATGGTAAAGAAACTTAATTGTGGTGAGTGTCTTTCAAAATGCACTTTATAGGGATTTACTAAGGACTACTATTAAATGTTGTCATATTGAATATTATTAATATGTTTGAAAATTTATGTTTATGAAAATTTACAATTTTTTGGGAAGTTTATGCATGTTTACAATAGCAGGAAAACCATTAGCAGCTTTACCAGCTTTTGCAACCACTGCCAGTTTTTGCTCACTACTTTATACTATGCACTGCACTCCAATTAGAGTAAAAACTGCCTGAGTGCCTCTTCCACTGAACCATTTATAAATATATATATATATATATATATATATATACACAACATATTTCCAAGGCAATAATTTTCAATGATTAATTAAACAAATGTTCATAACGACATCTTGGCAGTTCTATAAGTGTCTCTGTGGTTGGAAACCCATGCTTGAAAGATTAGGTGGTTAAGACAGGCTAATATCATTCCATAAGTTTTAAGAGCACCTTATATAAACTGTACTGGGCATTGCAATTATTTTTGCTCTACAAAACATTGTGTATTAGTATTCCCTGACACACATAATTTGTTATCCTCTCTTGATAGGAAAGATTTGCTGTCTACGCTTATAACTTTACTGTCTATCATTTATTTAGAGCATACATAATGCATAAAAATAATTTGTCATTCTACATCATGGTAGTGCACTGTCGTAAGCAGTTCTGCTGGTTTTCAAGTAAATGACTACTATATATTGGGAACATTAGGGATAGCCTAATATCAGATAATGAAAATACTACTAAATTATTTTTAGGTAATGGGGTCTCTTGTACTAATGTGAAGTCCTCCCCAACTTTTTGTGGGGTGACTCTAATGACCTATAAGTAATGTTGTATGAAGAATTGTTCTTTGTACATGCAGAATCCCGGTATTATAAATTTGTGTGTTTTTCATTTTAGAGATGCAGACCTCTTTTTGTTAGATACTCAGAGAGTCCCTGCCTATGAAGTTGGGTGGCTGGTGTTTGATATTACAGTGACCAGTAATCACTGGGTGATTAATCCGCAGAACAATCTAGGGTTACAACTATGTGTTGAAACATCAGATGGTAAGTTACTTTAGCTATACAACAAAAGGTTAATTGTGTCCTTTATAACTGTGTTTAATAAAAAATGTTTTAACAGTGCATAAGATATTTTTTTATGATTAAACTTGGGCAATAAGCCAAGCATGCAAAGAATACAATATATGTGTATATGTATACGATTTCTTCAGCGAAATGTGCATGTCAAAACTATCAAAAGGGTCAAAGGTATAGGTAGTCAAGGTTATATACAAATTTTCCTGTAAAGTGAAACTTAGCCATGCCCCCTTCAACCTCTCAAATGCCTTGGCTGGTCCTTTAATGTGACAGGTGTATGGCCAAAAGAAATGCTTGAGAGAGGAGAGCTACATCTAACATATATAAGCTTAATGCTTCCAGTGTCACTGGAATTGTATGCAGGAGTGAGACAGAAGTGGGGTACTTTTTACACCTTGACTGGTGACGGCAGTATGATTATGAATTCTTTGACTCCCGCAGCAAAACCAGAATTTTGAAGAGTGGGGATTTGACAGGGGATGCGTTAAATATTTGTGGATTATTTTAGAAGGATGACCCTTCCCACTAGTATGGCAGATTAATAAAAAATCTTGCTAAGTACTGTTTGCATGTAAATGTTCAAAGAACATAACCCATATTCGTAAAAACGAACACTCTTTCTATAGAAACAATATTTTCCATTGCAGTCAGCATGACTTGGAC